CCAACCATTCTATAATGTATACAAATTAAAAAAATAATATTGTCTTCAGAATTATACATTTTTGTCAATTGAAAACAACTTTTAGGAAGAAAATAGTGATAAATACATAAATAAATAATTAGTATTTTATTATGTTCCAGAGAATGAGTCTGAGAAGGAAAGCGACTTTAATTTGCTGAATTATGTGTCATCATTAGATTGTGTCAAGGAAATACAGTGACTGCTGTATGAGCAGACACTGTGCCAATAATTTCCAGCTTTGTGCTACAGTGCACAGTTAAGATGCTGACGTGATGGGTGCCCTGTACTCATTCTTCTTTGATGCACCCTGATGTTACTGGGGATGCAGTTAATACCTTATTTAATGTGATAGGTTTAAAGGAGTCTGAAGAGGGTTTGTTCTTGTAGTGTAAAAGGCACCATTCCCCAATGTTCCCTTTACTCCTTCCTGATTTTTAGGCTCTTGTCCTGCATCTGGGTGTGTTGCTTTTCTCCTCAATATGCTGTCTCATCTAGGTTTTGTGAATTTTATAGAGTAGAAGTAAGCAGTGGAGGACACAGACTTCCCATCTCAGTTCTAGTCTCTCGACAAGACTGTGTGTGCTAAGGTTGTGACTGTTCTTCTTAACTAAAACTTTTTCTTCGAGAAAAGGATGTTTCTGGAATATGTAATACCTTCTTTGTTTTCAGATGAATAATTGATTTCCACCTGTTATTAAATCAGTACTATCATTTTCATACCTAAATAAATAGGTAGGAAAAAAAGTGTACTATGAGAACAAAACAAACTGTATGAATCTCTATACTCATAACTTCTCCAGTGGCTCTGAGAACCTAAGATGTCCTAGCATGCTTTCAGTAGAGCTTATTTGCCCTGGTTGAGTATATCAATGAGCTATTTTTTGTAAACATACATATACATATATATACATATATACATATATATATATATATATATATATTCAGACAAAGTTGAGCAATACATTCTGTTTTATGTGGATGTTATTTATTGTATATTTTTGGCAAAAGTCATGTAACTCAGACTTGCCTCAAGGTTACTATATAGCTGAGAATGATCTTAAACTCCTCATACTTCTGCCAAAGCAAGAGAAGAGTGCTGGACTTTCAGGCCTGAACACCATACCTATCTTTTCTGCATTTGGGAGACGAAACTCAGGGCTTCCTATGTGGATGTTAGCACCCACTTTATGAGCAATATCTGCAGTGTCAGCTAATTGTAAATAAAAGAATATGGACTCTTCTCTCACCACTTTTTGTAATATGATGATAAATAACTGATACATGTGTCACTATAGATGCTAGTTGATAAATATGCAATGAAAAATAAAGCCTGCTTGTTCTTAAAAGTTTTACTTGTCAAGTTTTACACCAATCTTCTTCTTCTTCTTCTTCTTCTTCTTCTTCTTCTTCTTCTTCTTCTTCTTCTTCTTCTTCTTCCTCTTCTTCCTCCTCCTCCTCCTACCACTCCCCCTCCCTCCTCTTCCTCCTCCTCCTATCTGTTTAGTCTTTACTTCTCTGTGTTTTTCAGTGTTGCTTTGCCTCATGGCTATAATTGAGAAGCAGCTATAATTTAACATATCAGCTACAGCACTGCTAACTCAATATGAAATTTGATTCATGTTTTAAATACATGCCTTGTGACTGTGATCCCATTATACTGTATATGAAAGTATAAGTCTCATGCAGAGTGAAAATATTCATGCAATTCTGAAACAGCCCACAAGATCCAGCTTTTTCCTTGCTGTGATAGTGTACCCAAGAAAGGCAGTTTCAGGAAGGAATTGTTTATTTTTGGCTTAAAAATTGCCGAGATAGATATCATGGTGTAGAAGATGTCAGGAACATGATATGCGCTGTATCCATAATTAAGATGCAGAGAGACTTACACGGTGATGCTGAGATGATTTTCTTTTCCCTCTATGTTCAGTTGGGATCCAGAAGGTGAGATGGTGATGCCTAACTTAGGGTGAGTCTTTCCTCTCTAACCAGTTAAGCCTCTGTATAAACACCCTCATAGACATGCCCAAAAGTGTATCTGTTACATGATTCAGTCTAGTTGATACATTTATGATATATACATGATACAGTCTAGTTGACTATTCAGATAAATTGTAAGACGTCTTTTTATTTCAAGTGAAAATATTTTTTAGTTATGGAGGATGAGAAAAGAATACAATATATTTTATCCAACTACCTTTACTTCTTTCTTTCCCTTAACTGCATTGTCTTCCTTCTGCATTTTATTTATAACAAAAATTTAACAACTATATTCTTCCTAAAAAGACTAAAATAAGAATAATGCTAATGTTAAATTCTAATGATATGGGATTTAGATAAATATATAACCTTCTGTGCTTGTTCATCTATAGATGGGAGATCATAGCACCCTTTCTTTACTTAAGAAAATCAAATGAAATAATCTGATAAAATAAAATTGCTTTTGAGTATAAATATATTGTAGATAAAACTGATTGATTTATGCTATATACATATATTTAGATGATAGATAATAGGTAGATAGATAGATAGATAGATAGATAGATAGATAGATAGATAGATAGATAATATTATGTATAGGCTTTCAGTGAACAGGACAGACATAGGCTTTTGCCACCGGAGTGATAGTTTAAGAATGTGGCATCATGCCTGGATTATCCATGGTATAAAAAATTAAAGAAATGCTAATTGATGAATCTCAGCACAAACAAATTAATTTGTTCCAAAATTCTTCATCGTTTTGTCAGTAACCATTGCTGACTAATGAACAAATTTCGTACAAAATGCTTTACAAAGTAGTGTCTATAGTGATTTTCAGCTTGATTTAACGTCATACCCCACTATTGAATAGTCTTATTTAACTCCAATATAACAATGAAAGGTTTAACTCATGATATGCTAGTTTTACTAGAATAGTTCTGATCTATAAAACTCCATTAGTTATGACCTAATGACAGTGAAATATTAAAAAAAATATTTAGTGAATGCCAGAACATGAGCACTAGCCAGGCAGAATATCTGCCAGTTCCCAGCATTTTATAAAGTTCCATGAGGGATCCAGGGCTCAGACTGAGACCTGCCTATCACCACTGAGTTGACTGAAGTCACAAATTGGGCAGTGGCTCTGAACCTATAGTTCTGTGAACAGCACCATCAGCAAAGCCTTGAAATCCACCAGATATGAAAATATGCTGTCTTAACTTTCAAATCCAATAAGGCAGCATCTCTGAGAGTGGGGTCTCCCAGTCTGTTCTAATGATCTATCAGAGGATTTCAATACATGTCTAGCTTGAAAGGCACTGGAAATTAGAAAAAGAAGTGAAGGCTGATATCAAGATTTTGTGGTGAGTAATCACAAAGGAACTACAAGCTTCACAGCACCTGTCTGGAAGGAATTTGAGAAATCCGAAGTAAACATAACAAAGCTGAATGCACTTAACGCAGGTCAACTGCTGATAATTAAAGAAAAACAGTAATGTAATAACTAAAATAAAGGCTAGCATACCTAATTACCAACCATTATTAAACCAAATGCAGTTCGATGCAACAGACAAAACCTCTCTGACTATACCTTTAATCAGTGATCGGTGCATGTTTGGGAAATATTTGGGGATGTGATTTATTTTGATCAGCTTCATGGTGATAACATTAAAAATATGGAGATGGAAAAGCTCTTGGCTGTTATTTCAGATCATGAACTTTGAGGAATTAGGAAGTGTTTTGAGAAATTCAAGTCACAGATTCGTAAAATCATACTTCCTTGTTGGTGTGTCCTGCAATCTAGCACATTCTCTCAGAACTTAAGATAGGGAAAGACAGGGGCAGAGAGGGATCTGGAGAAGTGGCTCTGTGTTAAGTGCACTGACTGATCTTGAAGACCTGGATTCAACTAAACATCCACATGGTGACTCATAGTCATCTATAACTCCCCATGTAGGGAATCTGATGTTCTCTTCTAGCTTCTGTGGGTATCAGGTATTCACATGTTTCACAAACATACATGCGGACAAAACACTCATAAAATGTAATTTATAAAAGGTAATCTTTAAAAGGTAATTTACCTTTATAAAACAAGTTAACAAGTTAACAAGTTTTTATTTTGTATATTAATAAAGAAAAGTTTGTGAAAACTGTAGACCAATTTGTTGGGAAACATCATGTAAAAATTGAAAATTCTAGTAAAGAAATTAGTGTCATTTTGTTTGGCTATTGAGATGTGTTTTAGTAGAGCAAGAAAGAGCACAAGAAGATAACAGTTTGCTGTCAAAGAATATCTACCTGACAGCCGTACAAAAATAAATGAGAAATGAAATTGAGCTAAGGAGATATTCTCATACATATTATAAAGTCCAGGTGTGTGACAATCAGGCCCCAGACCTGGTACAGTGGGATGGGATTCAGTACATTATAATTGCTGTGGACATATGGATTTGAAAAGATTGTGTAGCAGTTGCATATATAAATAAAGAATCAGAAATGTTTGAATATAATGTAACAAGTAATATCCACACATAATAAAGACATTATCTTCCCTCAGCTTTGTATTTAATTATATTTGTAAAATATTTTCAGTTGTTTAATATCCTAAATTTATTTGTTCCATTATTTAAATAATATTGCTTACATTTTGTCTTATGAAACTATAAAAGTAGATTCATTTGTGAAAACATAACTTAGTGTATTATGTCAGGGAATCAATTTGCATGAGAATAGACTTTGATCCTTAATATGTGTCTTATAGTTTGTGTCCCAGGATTAAATGTGAATACAGAATAGCATCTCTTTCAAAAAACACCACTATTAGATCTCAGACTCACTTTGAACCTAAATCAAGGCTATTAATTTAACATTTCTCAAGCTATTGAGAAAAAAATTATTTTTGCTGTCTTTACTGGCTCATGTTCTCAATATTGTCAGTTTCTCTGCCTTCTTTCCTCATGCATGAAACACATTTTATCTGTTATGTTATGTACTACACTTACATGTTATCCATTTTCGTACAAAGGAAATAGAAAAATAAAGCTTTGAGTTTCTAATGAAAAATATCACTTTCCAAATCAATTTAGAAAATTTTACTTGCAAAAATATTAGACGACTTGGAGAGTTATATTTTAAATATTTTTATTAATCATTTACATTTCAAATGGCATCCCATTTCCCGGTTACCCCTTCACAAGGCCTCCCATCCCCTTCCTCCCCTCTCCAATTTGCCTCTATGAGGATGCTTCTCAACCCACTGACCCACTCCTGACTCACTGCTCTAGCATCTTCCTCTGATGGGGCATCAAGCCTCCACAGGATCAAGGACCTCCCCTCCCACTGATGTCAGATAAGGCCATTGAATTTATTTATTTATTCAAATTACAAAGCATATATCAGTCCTTCCTCTCCTACCAGTACTCCCTCAATAATAGAAAAGACAACCAAATTCATTTTTTTTGGGGGGGGGTGTTTCGAGACAGGTTTTCTCTGTGTAACCCTGGCTGTCCTGGAACTCACTCTGTAGACCAGGCTAGCCTCGAACTCTCGAACTCAGAAATCCAGCCTGCCTCTGCCTCCCAAGTCCTGGGATTAAAGGCATGCGCCACCACCGCCCAGCTTAGTTATAGTTTTTAAAATGTAAAAACACAAAAACTACTTTGGTTTTTCAATGCTAGAGTGGAAATAATTTTCTTCATGCAGGAAAACCATTATTTAATTAGTTTGGAAAAACGTATGGAATGGAAAGCAAGAATTTTTAAAATTCTTCCCATCTCCCCTGAGGTTTCCTTTTGTGAACATTCACAATCTTCATTTACTGTAAGAAAATTGTGCTATTTGTTCTTTTGTGTAGATGAATTAAGATTTTCACATTCAGTATTTTCATCACATGTTTTTATTACCTCAATTAATTCATCTCAGAATACAGTGGGTAATGAGCAATGGAATTGTTCATAGGGTATTGAGGGTTGTGTTTAAGGAATGAGATAAAAATGTTATAGAGTTTCATATCAGAATATCTTTTCTTCAGCAAATTTGCATATCAGTTGACATTTATAAAATCCATACTTTCAAAGCTTAACTTTTAAATTGTTTATACACTAAAATATAAAAACACAGATGGTAAAAATATAGAAAAGTAGTAACTTATTTCCAACTCTAATCATAAGTCCAATTTAGATTGATTGTGACAGAAGAGAGTATTATATGACAATTAATAACATATGAAATAAATAGATTTAGAAGCATATTTAGCATACCATACATCCAGAGATAGGGGAATCAGGGGAATTAAAAAAATAGAGGGCCACAAATAATAAAGTTGTCATACGGAAGCACAGAGCATATTGGTCTCTTTTACTATGGACTACAATTTTTACAAACAAGAGCCAATATTCTTTAGCAGCTTTTATACGTGTGAGTTCTGACCAATGTTTTTTAACCAACTAGTTTATGTTACCTGTGCTGCATCTGTACTTAAAAAAAATAATGACTCAAATCATGTCACATTTGATATTTCTGGATTGTACGTGTTGCACTGATGCTCCGATTTCTTGAGTTGTGTGTCCACCACTTCTTTAAGATAGCAGCATACCAGTGATTAAGAAGACTCATTCTTGCCTTTTGTTTTGGGAAGACCACTAAACCTATATACAATACAGACTCAATATAGAGGCAAGTGCCTAATTGGTTTTCTTAGGCTAATGTCATCTGTCATGTTGTCTTTCTGACATAATTAAACTTATAATTAGTGTCAGGGCTCTAACTTAAAAAATCCTTAAAATATTTTTGTATTTGTTTGTGTGCCAGAACTTCAAGTATGTTGAATAGATGAAGGGAATATCTATATGTATGTACATGTGTCTACTTCTCTGTACATGCACCACATGCATGCAGTGCCTGCAGACACTGGAAGAGCCAAACAGCTGTAGTTGCAGGTGGCTGTTTGCCAGCTGATATATGTGCTGGCAACTGAACCCAGGTCCCTTTCAGTAAGCGCTCTTAAACACAGAGTCGTCTCTTCAGTCCACTATAAAATCCTTCTATTTATTTCTACTTTTGTTCCAAAATGAGGATGCACTTGATTGCTGCAAATCATTGTGTTCATTTTTAAAAAGTAACAGTAACAACTAATATATATGCAACACTAGTTGCATGCCAGGGATTCTGCATTGTTCTGTTATGAATGCACTGTGTCTTTACTTTCCAAGTATCCTCTGAGAATGTCCCACTATAATCACTTTGATATGCCAGTAAACTAAGGTAATTAGACTTGGGGCTACACAGTCATCCCTAAACCCAGAACTGTAGAGTGCACAGTCTTAGATTTTAAATGTTTCCTTGACCAAGTACCTCATTTCATTGGAAGAAACCCTATTTCAAAGAGAAATTTATTCAAGAACTTATACATAGCTTGAAAGTCTGTTGAAGGTTTAATTTAGGTTTCCCTTTCTTCAGTCGGTGCTACATTTGATGGAATTTTAAGGCAGGTTAATACAGCTTTAACCAAAACCTTCATATTACTGGTATACTATATTTACTTTAATCAACATAGACATTGCAAATATTTAGCTTTAAAACATTTGTAGGATTCTGGAATAATCTACATGTTGAATGATATGCTAGCGGATTTGTCAGAGGAGTCTACATGCTAACACAAGAGAAATAACATCTTTGGGCAAAAACTTTCTCATGTTTGATAAAATTCTGTTTAGTTTTAAAATAGGTATTGTTTGGTACCTCCTGGGATGGGTCAGTGTGTAGAGTACCTATCATGAAAGAATTCAAATGAATCCATGTGAATTCAGGGCAGGCAAAAGCTATGGTGGTCACCTATAATACCAGAACTTCATAGGTAAAGACAAGGGATCTGATCCCTGGAACGTGTGTGTGTGTGTGTGTGTGTGTGTGTGTGTGTGTGTGTGTATGTTATTACTTATTGAATTCTAAGCAGAAACTTTTGCATAGATGAGTTATGACTAAATCTTACTTTGCAGTACTATTAAATTGTATCTGTTAGGTTAGCCACTGTTAATGTTATTACCTGTTAAAAGAGGGAAAATTATCTTTCAACATGTAGAAATGTTGAACTATCAGAATGTCTAATGTGTTTAGCATTCATCTTGCCTGTGAAAGATAATCAAGGTATAACTTCGTGAGGATTGTAAAGATCAATTATAATTAAAACACACACACAGGTACATAAGTATATGCACCTCTATTATGTATAAATTTACTTTTCATTTTCTAAAATTAAAGATCAGAGTCCATGCCTCCTTTACTTTAGAATTTAACAAAATAGCACATATAATTTGGCATTCAGTCTATTTTCTATGTAGAAATTTAACATAAAAGTAATTTTTTTTTGCAGTCCATTGATCTGGCTCTGTAAAAGTTTTCCAAAGTTAACCTCATTTCGTTAACATTTAAATGTCTGACATCAACTAATAGGGAGAAAATTATATTCTTAAAAGGTGAGCATTTTTTTCAATTTCCTCTATAAAGATTCGTCTTTAGAATTTTTTCTTTCCTGTGCCTATTGTTTTCAGGAGTCTTGGTCTTGACATTCATTAGAGGTACTTGGGATGAATACTGTTGTTTTAATAAAAAGAGCATGTCCTGCAAATTTTCTAATAGCAACTAAATTCAGAAACTCATGGATCAAGCCCTTAATCAGGTCCACTGGCTATATTATTCTCATAGTAAAATGGAACAATAACTTAATCCAAATGAAAAGATATATTGTGGCTAAAATGTATATGTGAACTGTTTAAACGCAACCAAAAACTAAGCTCTTGAATGATAGCAGATGTCCTTAGCACATCACAACGTCATGGAATTGATACTTAAGGTACCAGGGAAATCTGCCTGGGCATCTGCCAGCTTCAGACACAGACACATTTTAGTATTAGCATTAATATTAGCCTCTTATTACTTGATGACATTATTAGATTCTGCAGAGCATTGCAAGAGCTATCCTTTTACCTCAAATAGAGAACTGGATTTAGATTCAGTTACTTTCATTGGTTTGTCAGATAGGTACATTTGAAAACATTAAAATAACTTTGTCAACTTTTATCTGAAAACTTGGCTTCATCAAGGGCCTAGGACATATTAAAATATACTTCTTCACTTTGCTTTTCTGCCATGTTTTAAAATATGGGATGTATATAAATGTGAGCTTGTAGCTCAGTTTGACTCAACATGCTTTAACTGGCCACCTTTCATGGATGAAGTTATCTTTTGTGATCTGGAAGGGGAAGATATGAATAAGACATGGTAGTGGTATTTGGCACTGAGGGGCATTAGTTCACCCAGGAAATGAAAGGAGGTATAATTTAGCTTGGTACATAAACCTTTGTTCAGCCTAAAGATATCTTTTTCTAAAGTCCTTTTAAGAATACACACACAAACATACAAAACACATTTATTAAAGTTCACTGTCTTGAAATTGATCCAACCCACCTTCCCCATTGTAACTCAAAATAAGTCACATGCCTACTGTAAGGAAATGACCATGAAGCACTGTTATGGTTAAAATTTAAAAAGGCGACACCAATCTATCTTGTAGTTATGGGGGGTGCCATGTTCCCAACTAGGCAAGGCCTGAGGCCAGAGTGGTGGTGTGATCCCTCTGCTGCTTGGCTCAGGCCACCAGAAGTACCAGCCCTGCCACCCATGAGACTCCAGCATGTGCGATGGCTCTGCCAATCTACCATGTTGTCTCCACAATGTTTGGCTGAGCCCAGACCATCCCACCATCCACGTGGTACCTGGTAGAAATGAGACTTTAATACTTAAAGATTATCCAAAGGCTTTATATGTTTGGTAATGCTCAATTAACAAGATGTCCACACAATTAGAGGTGTTACCCAATTAACTAAAGTAGATATAAGTTGTTACCCAGGATGGTGCTGGACCTGTGGTTCTCCATGGCTCCTACATCCTTCCTCTCCCCTTAGCTCCTTCTCTTTCATCTCCTCTTCCTCTCCTTACTCATCCCACATTAGCTCC